CGCGTGAGGTGTGAAGCAACTAGTCGGGCACGGGGTACAGCTCTTGAAGTCGTTAGAAGTGGTAGCCGACGGAATGCAATTGAAGCTGCGGACATGAATAGAGAATTGGAGGGGATGTGGTGGTGTTACGTGGGTGGTTTTGATGTTTGCTTGCCGTCATCATCGATGCTTTATTTGGGGAGGCGCGTTGATCTGACGTCACCATGACCACAATTCCGCTACGCGACAACGCGTGCTCTAGATTCCTTATCCCCATTGTGGGCATCGATCGTCAAAAAGAATACGCCCACGCGCCTTTCCGTCAGCGAAAACGCTCAGATATGGAGCCCAGATTTCGCCTTCCAATGCTATGCTTTTGCTACACAATCCCATTCGTCAATTCCTCCCCTAGTGTCCCACTCTCCCGCACTTCATCGCGATCGATCTTGCATCGCGGGTTGCTATGAGCCGTAGCCCATGACCCTGACATCGTTGGTAGCCGTGCATCTGGCGGTAGCCATCGTGTTTCGCCATGTTTGATCTACTAATGATGGGTTTTCAGCTACCGCATCCCCAAAAGCCGGTTGAAGCTGGCATTGCGCTAACGCTCGGAGTGGTTCCGTGCCTAGCGTTCCACAACGCCTCATCGCAAGTAGCTTAGGCTCCTTTCAGTAGCTTTTGAGCTTCTTTGCTGGACAGACCGAAGACATTAATTAGGTAGTCGAGTCTGCCGACGTTGTTAGTACAAGCATTTCGGTCGATTGATCATCTTCACTCACTTGATGTCTCCTGCTATCCGCCTGCGCACAGCCTCGAACTCAACTTCAGCTTTGTCTCTTGTCGCATCCTGCCTCTTCGAATTAATCGTCTTGACACGCAGCTTGAATTTTCCGCTGACAGGACGGTGATCCGATACTTTGATGGTGTCGTGTCGCCGGTATTCCAACTGCTTGATCCTACCCAAGCCGCGGTACAACAGCCGATCACACCATGCAGGTGATCGCTGCTTCTCAGAAGTATCATAGTTGTCGGTCCCCACGTCATACTTGTAAGTCGGAGCAAAGTTGATCGGCATCTCAGTGAACGCCCTCAAGCGGAAACCAGGATTGCGCTTGCGGGACAGAAGCAGCTGATCACGTTCGAGAAGCTTCGCCAAGTTGCCTTGCTGCACAGCAGCAACAACAGTATTACGAGGCATCGCGTCGATGCGGTAATTCAGATCGCCGTTCAAGATACAGATCTCGTGATCCAGAATCATGGAACCATCACCACCTCCAACAAAGTAGTTTGCGCATGAAGTTGGGGAGCGGTTCTTTGGTAATGGTGCGTTCTCCATGATTGCGGCTGCGTCGTTATTGCGATGTACTGTTTGCGTCTGACCAGCTGCAAGGTGGCAGTTGATAAAGCACAGCGATGAATCGTCGATGAAGAAGCGCACAACGAGTGCACCCTTGTTGCCAACACGACCGCTGAAGCCAAGCTTGATTTCAGCTGCGCATACGTCGCGGATGTTGGCCCGTTCCGAAGCCTTTACAAACACACAGGTGAACAGACCGACGAGGTTGGCCGTATGCAGGAGTACGTAGTTCTGTTTTGGACTGTACTCGTCCAGGACGCGAACAAGATGGTCTCGCCACGCTCGATATTGATGTGACATGTGCTCGCTCTCTGATGTCTCTTTGTGCTTCTTTCTTTTGAAGATACTCTTGGCCGTGATCTTCTTGTCTTCCAGATCAACCAGTTCCTGGAAGCCAAACACAAGGATATCAGGCGGATTCTCGGGCTCGAGTATTTCCCGGAAGAAGTTGCGATCTTGCTCTGTATTGCGTAGATTTGCGGGTTTGACGGCGCCGGCGTTCCATGTCATGACTCGCGCCGAGAGTTCTCTGAATTCGCAGTACTCCCCATCACGTTGTTGCATTAAATTTTCTGCAAATTGTCAGCATGGCACCACCTCATACACACCGTACAACTTACCGAGCCAATCTTCCTTCATCATACCATCCCAGACGCGCAGCATTGTGTCTGTGCCAAGGGACGCAACCTGGAACCTATCGAGTTTCCAGATGCTCGTACGATCCGCCAAGATGCCCGCTATCGGCTTGTCATGTGCCTTCCAATCCTTCAACACCTTCCAGGGTGTCGACTTGGTGTCGTACACGTATATCATTCCAGTACTGTAGCCAGCCCAAAGGACGTCACCAACACCGACCAGGGAACTGATTTTGTACACACTGACATTCACAATTCCAAGACATTCGAAGCTCTTCTTGGAGTATATTGTAACTTTCCCGTCTGCGTGTCCGAAGTACATGCGGTCGGGCTGACTGCTGATGATAGCACCGGAGGTTACGTCTCCGACATTGAGCTGAGATAACGAACCCTGGGTTAATTGCTGGAAATGGTTGTTATCCGACGTGCGGGCATAGACGCGGATGTCTTTCGTCGTAGCTACCCATAATTGCGAGCCTGATATGATAGAAAAGGTGCTTCCACGGGGAATACGGTAGGTAAGTGGGGTCTGCTGTAGGGACGGGCATCCAAACTCGTCAGCTGGCCAGATGTGCAGTACGCCATCCTCGTCAAGAGACCACATTTCTGCAGCATAGCGGAAGATCTTAACAATGACACTCCTAGCGTGTGCGTTACTCTTAGTGTGCACTACACTTTGCGTGGGGATGTCAATCTCATGCATTTCGCCCGTGTTCGTTCCTAGCCATAATCGCTTGCCTTCGTCTTCCACATCTTTCGCTGGTCTGAATGCAATCGCTGTGGCTTTGACTGTGTCGCCATGAGCTAAACTCATGAGCAGTCGCCCGTTCAGAACGTTCCAAACGTTTGTCACGTATCCGGTTGTACATATGTAATCGCCACAAATTGCAAAGAGCTTGGTCTCGTAGCCGGTGGGGATACCGGCTATACCGTCTGGAAACACTGGTGGTCTCCGATTCGCTTGTGAGGAATCTGGGTAGTCTGTTAAAGCAGTCGTCGGTTGCTTGTCTGCGCCCGTATCTTCTTCATCCGAGTCATAAGTATACGGCTGTGATAGCTGCGATGCCTGCGCAGTAATCGGCTGTGACGGTCTTCTCATTTCCCCCGAGTTCCGTGGAGGCGGTGGTTTCGGAGGTTCTAACGCTTTTCCGGGACTAGCGGATATGGCACCAGTTGTGTTGGTCCGCCGAGGAGGCGGCATGAACTTGTTGTTCGCTTCTTGCACCATTTGCCCAGGACGGGTTTGATCGAAAGATCGTCGGACTGGCAAATCAGGAGGAGGTGCTCTTTGTAGTTGTACACTCTTCCGCAGATCGAAATTGTCCTTCTCTCGTCGCGTAGGTAACGATGGGCGGTCTTCCGGCATGTCAGTCGGTGATGGTGGCGGCATCGTCTTCTTCAAGGCCTGCTTTCCTACTGGCCGGGGGTCCGCGAATGGGTGGTTCTCGGCGACTGCGTTAGATGCGGGAGGAGCTGCGAAATAACCATTGTTGCCTCCAGTCATCTTTGGTTTCGAGAAGCCCGGGATGACTGGTGGAGAAGATTCGCCCTTGACGCTCTCTCCACTACTACTAGGTGGTGTACTGAATGGAGAAATATCTGCAGCGTCTGATGTGGCTTCGGGCGCCAGGCCTGTACGAGCTGGCAAATCCACAGAAATCGACTTTGGTGGTATCTTTGGTTTACCCGCTCGGTTCACAGGCGGCGGTACGGGAGGCGCAGAGGATACCGGTCGATCACCCTTTCGCGGGTCATTGGCGGGGCCATTGCCTGTGTGGGCTGGAAATGTAGGTTTCGCGTCCGTAGCGGGGGTGCCATTGCGACTGGGCATTTTGAAGAATCTCTTTCCGGCAGACACTGCTGAGGGCGAATCCAGCGCGGCGTGCTGGGCAGGTCGCTCGGGCTGCGGCGAGAGTATGGGAGAAGCGGAGGACTTGGGCGGTGATCTTGGTGACTGGACCGTAACCTTTGGCGGGGACCTTGTTGGTGACCTGGGCGGAGAAAAGGCCATCATCGACGTTGGTCTCTGCTTTGTATTGCCCCAGAGCGACCTTCCGAGGGTGTTCGAGCGCGGAGTCACTGTCCCACTCCCACTGTAGTCGGCCACACTGGGCGAGGGTCTCTCAGCATAGTCTCTGGGCATGTCCAAGGATATGCGCCCATCTGTCCTCCTGTTGTCCTCGGGCATAGCAAGGCGATCATTGGGGCCGGGGGAGCGTTGTCGCGGAGTGGCAGGCGCGGCGGGTTTGTTTGTGCTGAGGAGGTTCTCGAACTGGGCGCGGAGGGAAGACACTGGCTTCTGTGCTGGGCGTCAGCAACATCTTCGTGCTGGGAAGGAGCTACTCACTATGGACGAGTCGTCCATGTTCTCCTCCTGCTGGTTGTCCATGATGATTGTGTTGTCGTCAGCCGGCACCGGGAGGTATCCTATAGCTGCGCATCGACCAGTGAGGTCTTCTTCCCATTTGGCGCTTCTTGTGAGGGTGGAAGGGGAGGCTGTCGCTCGCGGACCGTCATGCAGCCAGCGCTACGGAGGCAGGATCCAGAAATAGCCTGTGCAGTAGTGTTTGTGGTAGTGGATACGGTGGCGGTGCGATGTGGTAGAGGCCCGAGTGACTGTAGGGCTCCCTAGCGGAGACGCGTATACTGGCTGCTAAGAATGTTCGGCGACAGGGAAGACGAGCGACAGCGCGGGGGTGCAGGTGTTTCGCAACTGTCGGAACGCAACGGCTATCGCGACTGCTCTCCGTGTGTGTGTACGGTCAGGTGACGTTCCGGTTTGCAGGCGATACCCGTGGACAGAGGCTCTCCTGGGCTGCGTTGGGCGCGGGCGGCTTGGAGCGGTGTTGTCGTGTCTGTCTACTGTCATTCCCCACAGCGCAGCAGCACGGAACCCTGCACACCACCAACGGCAAGGCGATCAGGCACCGGCGAATTATAGACGAGCATACAAAACGCCAAACTAGCCAGCCTGCAGCCGTCAGTCTGTACTTCCATAGCGCCGTAGTCTCCCTTCACCGACACCAGCCATGTGGTAAGCACGCGTTTCTTGTCGCCTCCGAGACTCCCCCGCCATGACCTCCGCGGATGGCTGATGCCCATGTAGCAGACACATCCTCAACGCCCAGGTCTCCATCCGCTCGCCTTGCTGTACGTCGCCCGTGCTGAAATGTATGCGATGAATGCTGAGAAGGGATAGGCAAGAAATGGTTCGACTGCGCGGAATGTCACCAGGAGCAGAGCGACCACCCGCTCCAGCAGACGTTTGATATGGTCTTCATCTGCAAAAAGTGCAAGAAGGCCTTCCGCAAAGATGCCCGCGAATTCGAAGACGCGTAAGAATGGAATGTGTATTTTTCATGTGGCGCTGGCTGATGAGTGGTAGCGATGAGTACTGCCCGCACTGCGACAACCATTTCGTTCTAGAGGCCAAAACTCCCAAGGCCTCGCTGCAGGTCGAGGGCGAGGATGTTCGAAAGGACGCCAGGCACGTCGCATCCCTGGTTAGTGACGTAACATTGCTGACAATTCTGCAGGATGCTCAAGGACGAACGTGTACGAGCCGAAGAGATGCGCACCATATTCGATGTCAAGGAAGCACCGGACAAGTTGGGCTGAACCAGTGGGACACCGCGAAATACAGTACTATGCGTAGCACAAGCTACAAACCCGTAGGGCGGGGGCCCTCACCCAAGAACATCACGCAACGAGCGAGGGGTTGGACGTGGAAAGACACTTCATGGTGTGCTAGATTGCCATTTATGAGCACTAGCTGGTCGTATCTGCATTATACAGAATCATAAAGTCTATCACCCGACGCCACTGCTGTTCATGCCTTTTCGCCATCAGTCGTTAACCATGCCTCTATGCGCCACCAGATCCTGAGCCCTCAGCTGGGGTCTGGCGGGTGAGAATAGCGGCCTGGCCTGTACCGGGCTGCCGTCCAGGCCTCCTGTTCGCCGCCTCTTCCTGCTTCTCTGTGTTGATGTTCTCCACGTATTTCTCAATGTCCTCGACGGGCAACATCTCGATGGGCTTTCCGGGTGCCATGATGGCAATCTCGATGTTCTTCGCGCCAGTCTGCACCACCTCCAATAGTGACTTGACCGTCAACTTGATTGTCTCTTCCCGGTCCATCCCTTCCTTGTGGTTACGTTCGAGGAACTCGCGGACTGTCTTGCTCGATCGGCCAATCGCATTTGCTTTCCTGGGTAATATTAGCACAGAGAAGTCTGACTTTGTGTATGTAACCTACCATGCTGAGTAGATACCAGAAGGCTCGGTCTGGTACAAGCGCGGGGTCTTGTCATTAGGGTCGAAGCCGACTATCAGTGTGCTGATACCGAATGGTCGGACACCACCGCTCTGAGTGTACCTCTGCTGCACACCTGCAACGTACTTGGTGATGTACTCTATCGATACGGGGTCTTCGACTGTGAGGCGATGTGATTGTGCTTCGAGGCGGGCCTTGTCGACAAGGATACGGGCGTCGGCGTTCAGTCCAGCGAAGGCGAGGGCAACGTGGGTGTCGACGAGGCAGATCTTGGAGGGTGTGATGCGCGTATCTTGCAGCTTCATTGCGGATCGCTTCTCGCAGCCGAGTACTACTATGTCCGAGCCCTTAACACCAACGGCGCATGTTCCTGGGGCGAATGAGCATCTGACGTTTGCTTTCTCCTTCATGTACTACGCACCTCGCTTGACTGCTTCGAGCGCATATTCGACCTGGAAGACGTGACCGTCAGGACTGAAGACTGGCGGAGTTAGCTAGGCCCGCATCTCCAAGTGGTGGTTGTTTGTACCGGAGAGAGCTCGATCGTAGCCGGACGCCATTGTGAAAGTGGATGTATGGTAATCTGTAGGCTCCTCGTTGTTTTCTTGTATACGGCGACGATGGCTAAGAAAAAGCGGCTGGGCAAAGAGGTACGGCTGTTGTCAAGTTGCTCGCGGAGCTCCAGAGCTGTCCGCGTCGCTGCTCCCGCCTAAACTACGCCAAGGCGTCTGGCCCGTGCTTACCCTGTCGAATTAGGTCATCATGGTAGATATTCGTGAAGGCGACTTGATTATTTCCGCCGCCCGTCGCATTTCTTCTCCGGTCAATTGGGATGGCTTCTTCAGCGCGCTTGGTCTCGTCACTGCGACGAACTGCACTCTCTTCTCGCGCCGCATCACGCTATCAATATTTGCGACCAACAAGTCAAGTGCGATGGACGGGTAGTACGTCAGCGACTTCGGAGCCTCACCAGCCAGACGAAAATGGCGGAGTGAAAGGCCCGACCGCGTCGTCAAAATCCATCAAGTTCACTTCCGAGTCGTATGTGTTGAGGTTTAGATTTTTTGAGGGATTTGCTAACGCTACGCAGATACCCGCATCTTCAAAGAGACTCCAAGTTCGCCAAAGTCAGCGAGGAGCATGTAAAATATTTTCGAGACCTTCTGGGTTCCGATTCGGCCATCATAGATGGTGTGTCGAAAGATGCATCAGATGATATTGAAGCGTTCAACAGCGACTGGATGCGCAAGTTCCGCGGCCATACCAAACTAGTCTTGAAGCCCAGTTCCACGGAAGAAGTCAGCAAGATCCTCAAATACTGCAATGACAACATGCTCGCCGTAGTACCCCAGGGCGGTAACACTGGACTTGTCGGTGGCTCCGTGCCTGTGTTTGACGAGATTGTGATCAACATGCAGAGGATGAACGAAATCAGGTCCTTTGACGAAGTGTCTGGTATCCTCGTCGCTGATGCTGGCGTGATCTTAGAGAACGCCGACAACTTCCTTGCGGAAAAGAGCCACATCTTCCCATTGGATCTCGGTGCTAAGGGCTCTGCTTACATTGGTGGCAATGTCGCGACAAATGCCGGTGGTCTGCGTCTCTTGCGGTACGGTAGCTTCCACGGAAACGTCCTAGGCATTGAGGCAGTCCTTCCGGATGGTACCATTGTAGATGACCTTTCGACGCTTCGGAAAAACAACACTGGTTACGACCTGAAGCAACTGTTCATCGGCGGAGAAGGTACCATCGGCATCATCACCAAGGTCTCGATTATCTGCCCGAGAAGGTCACCCGCCGTCAACGTCGCGTACTTTGGACTAGAAAGCTACGAGCAGGTCCAGAAGGCGTACATTGAGGCGAAAGGGCACCTATCTGAGATCCTGTCAGCCTTTGAGCTGATGGACGGTCGCACACAAAAGCTGGTCAACAGGGTCACCGGTAAGAAGATGCCTCTAGAGGGCGAACATCCTTTTTACTGCTTGATTGAGACCAGCGGGTCTAACGCCGAGCATGACAGCGAGGTAAGCGATTTCGTGGTACAAACGGAACTGGCCACTAACCTGTCTAGAAATTGCAAGCATTCCTTGAACATGTGATGGAGACCGAAGTGGTCTCCGATGGTGTTCTCGCCGAAAACCAAACTCAGATTCAAGAGCTCTGGTCATGGCGCGAAGGCATCACCGAGTGCCTTGGTCATGATGGAGGTGTCTACAAGTATGACTTATCGATCCCCATCGCTGAGCTCTACGATCTGGTCAACGAGACACGCGATCGCTTGACAGAGGCTGGGCTGCTTGGCAACGACTCCTCGCACCCCGTAGTTGACGTCGTTGGATACGGTCACATGGGTGATGCCAATCTGCACCTCAACATTCCAGTCAGGAAGTTTGACAAGGCTGTAGAGAAGAAGCTCGAGCCTTTCGTTTATGAGTGGGTACAAAAGCGTAATGGCAGCATCAGTGCTGAGCACGGCTTGGGAGTAACGAAGAAGCCATATATTGGATACAGTAAGAGCGAAACCATGATCAAGCTGATGAAGCAAATCAAGGATCTATACGACCCTGTAAGTGACTACCCAAGGTTAATTTGTTTCCATCATGTGCTGACTACGACAGAACGGCATCATGAACCCGTACAAGTACATATAGAGAGACACTGCGGCATATCCTGTAGACCATTCATATACACATCTTTACCTCCGTTTCACATCTTGCTCTTCCCTTTCCCCAGCAGCTTAACCGCATTACCCTGATAGATCGCATCTCTCTCCTTCTCTCCAAACAAACTCTCCAGCCCATCCTTCATCCTCTCTGCAAACGCCTTCACAAACTGCGTCTGCGTAAAAGGAAAATCACTCCCATACAACAACCTCTCATACGAGATTTCGAACCCTTCAACAAACGCCTTCAACTGCCCCTGCCCCCCACTCTCTCCATCAAACACAAACCCCGCGAGATCAAAGTAAAACTGCGTATCGAGCTGCTTCCGCACCGTCGAAGCGTTCAACACCCTCCCGCCTGGCACCACGTTGGAGAACTGGATGAACCGCGTCATAAGTGGCGGTAACGCACCACCAGAATGTGGGATGATGAACTTGATGTTCGGACACCGGTCCACCGTCCCCGTGCTAAAGAGATTAACAACTGCCCTGGCAGTATCGAAAAAGAACTCAAATATAGGCACGGGGTATTGCTCGCCAAATGGAAGGGCGTCTGTCGTCTGAACCGGTTCACCAGCACTCCTAACGCAAGGTTTAGTCGGATGAATGAAAACCGTCGCACCGATCTCGTTCAACTTATCAAACACCGCGTTCATCGCTCCATCCCCCAAATAAACCCCATGGTAGTTCGTTAGTAAGCCAAAGCCCTCGACGCCTTCCTCGACACACTTCCCTATCTCCGTCAAACTCGCGTCAACATCCGGCAACGGCAGTGCAGCCCAAACACCAAACTTCTCGGGATCTTGCTCCTTGAGAGATGCAGCGTAGGCGTTGCATTGCCGTGTTAGATCGACTGCTAATCCCGGATTGCGCAGGTCGATGTTTGTTCCCGGACTGGAGATGGAGAGGATGGATTTGGAGACGTTGGCTGTTTCCATCATTTCAAGGTGTTGGGGTGGAGACCAGGAAGGGATCGCGGGCATGCCGTCGGGATGGGAGTGCCCGTTTTCGGCGAGAGCGGTGCGGTAGAAGGGTGGGAGGAAGTGCGAGTGGACGTCTATTCTTTGGGGGAGGGGGTGTGTCATGTTGGCTGTGGTTGTGGTTGTGAGTGCTAGGAGGATGATTAGACCGGGGATGGATGGGAGCATTGTGATGGTACCTTTCTGAAATGGGAATGATGGAAAGATCAGATTAGGTGTTTTTACAGCGAGTCGATTTGTGTCCCTACTGGACTTTTCGCTCTTGTCAGAAGTAACGAATGCTATGGTTACTTATGCAATGCAATGCGCGGCACCTGCATCAAGTGATCCATTGACATCCGGCACCCCGCTCCGATGGTTGCACTTACAGAGCGAGAGCACGTTGGTCATTGTGCAACTCGTTCAGTAAGGACCTGTAGATAGGCACTGCGCCTCTATTATGTGTGATCATGTTGCGCCCACAAATTAGTCCAGCAATTGCAAGCTTGGGGACTGGATGGCTGCTGCATTTGGACGAGACTTTCCGTCCCAACGCAGGGTGTGGTAATCAACATGATAGCAGCTGCTCTTAGTACCTAGGTAGTCCATTCGAAACTATGACTTTCACCGCACGATAGATTACCCATTATATCGTTGCGTCAGAGCTTCTGAATGTTAAGTGTGGCACGCATGCGCCGATAAAGGATAATGATCCTGGCCGTCG